CATCAAGGGTGCCATAATGGTGTCCGTAATGGACACATGGCACCCTTGATGTACAAGAAGAATTATCCATGGGAATAGAGAAAAATGTCTAGTTTCTATACATTCATTTTTGGAACATTTATTGGTTCTTGAATGGCTATAAATTATAACCAAATCGAACTTGAACTTTATTTGCTAGAAGCTGTCTTCATTAGATTGAGTCAACTCTTCCAAAAAAATTTCTAATTTCATATGAATTAGATTGGATTCTTAACTCTCTAAAGTCTCCATAACGGATTTGATCACGTTCCAAAACTTTGTAGTGATGTTTAGTTGAGACTTTAAAATTGTAATTAAGTGTCAAACTTCAAAGTGGGTAGAAGGTTAAGGAGGCAACCTCAAGGGACACGTCTAGACTCACTATATTTAGTAAATGGCTTGACCAGCTCTACATGTGTTAATCAGACTATGGACGCACCATAGAGGTTTAAATGTGGTTGAGGCATGTTGCATGGTCCCATTTTGAGGTGGCGCAACATGAAGCTCTTTGAAGGTGTGTCGGACTAGTGTCTGGGCTTGAGACGCTCTGGGATGGGCCTATGGTCCACACGATCATAAGTTTACATAGGCCTGCACAATCCTCTCTAAGGTAGCAGGTATGATAAAGCATAAAGTGTATATAACTGCACTATTAAGACTTGATATTCTATCTTAAAAGGTCAATCTACTTAAGAGAAGTAGCACAAGTTCTTAAATTTGCTTAAATTTTTTTTAATCTAATCGTTGTAGGAATTATCCCTTAACAAGACTCACGAAATGATGATTCGTTAGAACTTTGAATACACCATTCTTGAAATTTTGATGATTTGTTCGAGTTTTAAGACGGATTGAATGGTTCTATTAAACATTATAATCTTTGATACTATATTGAGATTTGAATTCCATCTAAAAATATCAACATTATTAAGAGAAGTAACTCATAAATTTGAGGTTCTATATTCAAAGTTCAACTTTATTAAAAGAAGTTTGATAAAATGATGGTAAGTATTATATTTTTATTTAATGTAGAATTTATTTCTTAATATGCCCCCTTAGGATGATAGTTTATCTGAAAATATTAATCTTGAAATTTGTATGCGTCTTAATTGAATTTAATAAGCTCTGAGATTGAAAATTTGGATCATCTTGAAGGTATAACCATCCAACAAATTGGGTTTTATCAACACACATTGGCGTTCTTAGCCCCCTAAGGCTACCTCTTTGATATATCCATGTTTTGTTGATTGTAGCAAAGTTTTGTCGACTTATATGTACTTTCTAATACTTGTTTGATCCTCATTATTTTCAAAATACATTTTTTTATCTTTTTTATTCAACCACACATTTTTTAATAAAATAATATTAAATACAAACTCAAAATATTTTCTTATTTTTTAACCACACATTCTCCATCAATCTACTATTCCAAAATACAGTTTTAGGATAAAAATGGGGCTCAAACATGTAAATAACTTCTATTTGCATCTAAACCTATAAAATTGTCATACATTGAGTGAAATAGGATGGGATCGATTCTAATGGCCATTCAAACGAGCGAACTACTTAGTTGATATTCTTAATTAAAGGTCTATTTGAATTTTAATAGTTGATGTGAAACGCAATTTTATTATTGATTTTACCTATACTTATTCAAATCAATGATCTCGATTATTAAATTTCAAATGGTGTCAAATTTGATGTAAAAAATTGATGCACACCACTACGACTAGATTAATTCTATAAATAATTATAAATTTAGCCAAATGGAGACATAAATGGCTCAGCGTAAACACTCGACCTAGCTAGGTCTCTCATCTCTCATTGAAAAATTATTGAAAATACCCCATATTCAACAATACCATTTTACTATTTTAAAAATTTAAAATTCCAAAAATACCCTCAATATGAANTCCATTTAAAGTTCAAAATATGAGAAATTATTGAAAATACTCCAAATTCAACTATGCCCTTTTCAAAATACCCTTTTACTATTTTAAAATTTTAAAGTCCCAAAAATACCCTCAATATGAAAGGTTTCAAACAGGTCATTCTAATATTAAATAAATTTCATTTTAGTCATTAAAACTTTAATTCTAATTTTGGATTTAACAAATTATTTGCCTCTTGCAATAAAAATTTAACTTTTCTTCACCATCAACTCTTTCCACCTATTTTGAATTAATTGTATTTTTGCGTTTTTGGATAACCCACACCCAAATAGTATCAGAGCGCTATATTCTGAGAATTTAAAGTCATTAGAAGATGGAAGATAATA